TAATTGATTTTCTATATACATCTATTTCAAAATGTATTTTACTTTAAAAAATAAAAGCAATTAGTGCATGTGAATAACTGTTTGATTCAATTAGAAGTAAATGACTGACTCCAATTAATATAATCAGATAGAGGTTTAATTACTTTATGACATCGCAAATTATATCGCAACTGATTGAAATTACGATAATAATCTAAATGTAATTAAACCTCATTGAAATAAGATAATAAGCTGGTATCCGGATACTTGGCCCAGCCTAGTAGCTTCTGGAGGTTATTTTCTGTAATATCGTAATATTTAAAAACATGAGTTAAATTTATTTTGAAGGAATGTAATTGTTTTATTAAACAGCTGGGCTTTGATTTCTGATAAGTTATTGGGCTTGTATTAGAGTTTGAATCGCGCAGTTGTCGCTGTTTCCATTCTCCACTCCAATTACCTTGTATATCTGATATTTGTAATCCAACAGTCAGATCGAGAATCGAATCTAAAATCTAAATCAGATGACCCAAATTAGAATTGATATACTTCCATACTAATAAATGCGAAAGTTGTCATGGATGAATGAATGAATGAGTGGAAATGTGTTAGAGCTTGTAGCCTAAACGGCTGAACGGATTTCGATAAAATTTGGTATAGATGTAAAGGGTGTTGAGTGCAAAATACAACCTCTTTGGCTGACAAGCAGTATTTATACAGCCAAAGAGGTTGCATACTGGCCACCAAGGCAATAATCGTCTTAAAAGAAAATATATAAAAAGAAGTCAAGATGTAATCAAGAGAGTTTTAAGTTTGTATGTTTTTTAGTGTAAATAAGTTTTAAATATAGACATGTTTGGTTGATAATAAGTGTTTTGTATTTTTGGCTGCCGCGCTGTCGGTAACAAGTTAAACAAAGGGTAATCTGTAAAATAACATCTCAGTACTGTTTTTTTTTTAAATTTTTACGCAGACGGAGTCGCGGGCTAAAGTTATTTAAAATAAACTGAAATACTTCGAAAGGCTTTTTTGATATTGATAGGAACAATAGTACCGTCAGTCATGATCCTTATCCAAGCAATAATCCTGCTGCTTCGTACCATAGGTATAACCGCATTAGTCATGCTAGGCCGTGTTTATTTTTCTGGATGTTTTAATCTGCGCGGGTCGCAGCCAGCAATTACTGGGCCATTGTTGTCGGCGGGTAATGAGGGTCCTGCAGGATCGCGCTTGTTAATACCCTCCCCCCTACCCCGATGGGGGAGGAGGCCCAGCACGCTTTTAATCACCAAACATTAATCATTATAATATTTCTGTTTTATTGATTAACTTGCAATTTATAAATGTATACAATTACTGTTATTTTGTTAACTAGAACGGTTGGTTCAAGGCATAATTTGACAAATATTTTTTTATCGACCGCAGACCGCAGATGCAGTATGTGGGGGCTCATAAAGTCTGTAAATAATAAGCTCTATTTCTTGCTGAATATGAAATGTAATGTAATATATCGAGTAAATACTGTAAGCTGTAAGTATGACACATGTTTTCTTACGTAAAAGTATGTAAATGTATTTAGTGGCAGGTACGTGAGACGCTTCTAGACGCGCGAGATCTTGCGAGGTCAGAGGAGCGTATGATGTGCGTCCGTACGCATCTCACGATAAAAACATAATTACAAACATCAACAAGAGACTACAGAAGTTTATGTAGTTGATCATAAAGAGGTAAAACTATCAGCTTATATAAACACTACATTATTGAGTAAATAGCTCTGTTGTTTCGACTTCGTGGAATTTAAAATAGTACAAAAAACGTTCGTAAGATACGGGTTTCTTACCACGACTGGGTTTTTTTTTTCCGCACTATTGCACCACTTCAGTCAGCCCGTGAACATGGCGCATGCAACTGTGCCGAAATATCGTGAGCTAAAACAACCCAATCGTGGTAAGAAACCCGTATCTTACGAACATTATAATTGTAAAAACCACGACAGTTTAAAGTTATATATAGCCTATGTTGCTAAAATAACGTAGGTTTTTAATGGTGATAGAATGTTTGAAATCGGCTCAGTAGTTTTTAGTTATTTTAATGCATACTAAAATATACAAATACAAATCTTTCCTCTTAATAATATGAGTATAGATGTAGGACAATTCAGAAATAAAAGTTTCAAATTCATGAAGAGGTATTTGGAAGATATGAATCGAAAGCTTGCGATCGCATAGCGAATAAAGCAAACAAAGATGGAATTAATGCTGGTATGAAAGTGGGGCAGCGGTGGACTCAATCAATTTCCCGAAGCCGGCGAAAAATATGAACTGGATACAAGGTTTCCGTTGAGTCGGTCGTGAGGCTAATTAATTTCAACATATAGCGCTTCTAAGGCGAAATAAAGAATTTTCTGTAAATTTTTTCTCAAAGAAGTAATCTGTTGCGCTGATTAAAATGGGATTATTTTTTCTTTAGTTTTCGATATATTTACAGGGAGTTTCTACTACAAATCGGACACGTATTAATATACAAGACAAGATTAATGTCGACTTTAATAAAAAAAATGTCACATTGCTAATCAGTACCTTACCTTACCTTAGCGACTACTTAACAATTGTAAGTAGTCACTAATCTAGTATAGAACTTAATATAAAAAAGATACTGACATCTCCTTTTTAAATTTCTTGTAATGAAAGGAACATTTAATTAAAAATTTGAAGACTTCTTAACACTTATCCAAAGCTTTCAAATATCTTTCGATTGAAAGACGAATCTATGTAAAATAAACAATGTAATAGATTTTCTTTTGAATAAACATAATCGCGTCAAGTAATTGAATGAAAACATGATAAGATAGCGAGCGAGGAACGTCTCAAGATATTGACTGGAGATGAAACGAGATGGCGCTAGCGGGG